ATTGGTTGTTGTTGTTGTTGTAGTTGTTGGTGATTCTCGCCTGTCGCCTAAGAAGGCATTCACCTCATTTCCTGAACGGCGATAACGACGAAGAGAAGGCAAGTCGGGCGACTGGCCAGCTGCTTGCACTTCCATTTGCCAAATTGACATAGCGTGTATAGGCGTTGGCATTGTGAATGAGAACGAGGGGTGGAGAGAAAAAAGAAAGAAGGAGTGTGTGTGTGTGTGTGCAAATGAGAGGTTATGCAAGAAGATCGAACACCAAGATCGATGCATAATGAAGCTTCGTAGGACTTATCGGAATGTCGATCGCAGGAGTGAGCCTCATGAATAGTGATGTTAGGGCAGCTTTTACTTTCTTTTCCGGCTTCGCAAACGTTTATTTGTACATTTCGAATGGTGTGGTGAGATCTTAATGCTGGCTAGATACAAATTGAAGATCCGGTTCGGAATAATCCTGATACATTGGCTGGTGTTGACTTTTTATTTCGACTGTTTATTCTAATATATATAGAGCTATATACTATTCTTCTTAAATTAGACTTAGATCGAAATGAAGTCTAGTATGAGTATGTATATACGTTACGCTTGTTATTCTAGTTTTCGTCAACTGCTGGCTCCGCCCTCAATAATAATTGCCAAGCCTTCTACTTGGCCTTAGGCCTCTCAAATGTCTTCTCTACTCACGGAAGTCGATCATCAGCACTTGTCGCAACTTGTTGCAGGATCATCATTATCACTACTAGTATCACTTAGCACATAATCACCACAAGCTAAACGGGTATGAAAGCATACAGAGATGCCGATCCAGCTGGAATGAGGAGTGTTCATGGTTGGCCGTTTGGCTCTGCTGCGATGATTAGCAGAGTCATAAATTGTTAGTTTTATCTGTGTAACATAATCTTGGCAAGTGGTTAACTCGTCACTCGACAGCGCTGCAGACCAGAAAGACAAAAAATTGCGTAACGGTTCTTCATAGTCAGCCTGTTGACTGTTGACTGGTGAAGCCAGTGAAGCCACCCAGCCAACGTTCGGTGGTGTGTGGGCCATAAATGGCGAGCGCTAATTGCTTTGTGGCCATTTAATGGCTGCCAAACCAAAGAGCCACTGTACTTCACGGCTTTGTCTCTAACGCTCAACAGATTATCGTTATACCAAATGGGTAGCCCCCAAGAGCTAGGCCTGACCCACCCTTCTTCGTCTTCGCCTTCCTTTTGGTCAGGCCAAGTTACAGTGGCTTCAAATTTGTATAATACTAGTTATATTTTTTTTAAAGTTTCCGATTATATCATCGTGCAAATGATGTTTAAGTTGTTTGTTTGCATAAAACTACGTTAATATCTAAAGTAGACTCATCCGAGTAAGAAATTATTATTATTATTTTATTTTTTTTTGACTGCGAGATGGCATTGAACATTTTGAATTCATTGTAACGTTACAAAGTTTTCTAATTAGCCAAATCTAGATAAGTAATTATGTACGTAAGTACGTAATTATACGTCTGGTCTTATTAACTGGATTGATCGTTTTGGGCCATAGATTACGGAAAGATACCAAATACTTACAATGAAAAAATTCTCGCATCTTGGAAAATTCATTCATCGATTTTGAGTCCTGATTGTAGATTGAAATTTCATTAACTGTCCCTGTTTCCACGAATGATAGTTTCCAATATTCCAATGCCTTTTTTTGAAGTAACTTATCTGTAATGGTTAAATATATATTTGGGTCATTTGTCCAAGTTGAGATGCATATAGCTGTTCGAATTCGGGAACACTGTGCAGCTGTCCAAATTGTCGAAATTGTGCAAATTGCAGTTGGTGGTCGTAAGCAAATGTAAACACTGGCCGGCGGCGGCAGAAAAGGCTCGATATGCGGCGCGTAAGAGCCTAATTGCAGTGATTGGCGATTGCAGCCGATTGTGAACTGAGGTCGGCGTGATAACGGGGAAAGCGTTTTCGGGCCAGCTGGGTAGGCCCTGCGCCTGCGGCCAACACTTTTGCCAATGTTCAATGCAAGGCAGGTTTGTTTTGGCCTTTTCATTAATTTTCGGTTTGGAACTTTGTCCGTTTTATTTTTTTTTTTGGTTTTTTGTTTAAGGCAAACAGCAGGCGAGCAGCGGAGTGGTCGAAAGACGATTGCATAAGTAGGACAACTGGGCGGCTGATATCCACAACCTGCTCGCGATTTGGGTTAAAGCAGGAAGAATCGCTGACTTCAAAGTGTTTTGGATCGGAAAACGAAACTTAATTTATGTGTGCGATTGATTGGGCACACGAGAACTTTTGATTTTACTAAATTAAAAACATGTTGTTGGCCCATTTACACGACAAGTCGGCTGCTTGTTCTCTGGCTGAGATCGAAGCGAAAAGCGGTCCACGAGTGGGCCCAAGTGGGCATAAAAATTTCAATCTAAATGTCAGAAAATGTCACAGAGTTCCGTGCAGCAGTTTTATGGTTGCACTGCACACACAATGCTTCCCGTTCTTTATTTGTTGTTGGTTCGTGAGATTGTTGCTGTTGTTATGTATTGTTGGTCTTTTTGATTTAGGGCCTCGCATCGAAATTGCCAAAATGTGTGAACAAATGCGCCTTGCCTCGCTGCTCTGACTGGTATCGCCCCCTTCACACACACAGGCAACAAAAATGCAATTAAATTCTTTGGAAGTGGAGCTGAGTGGCACTTTATTCAATTCGGGTGTGGATCGAGGTGTGGAGTTTCACGAAATTAAGTCGTTCGGCCATGCTATTTTGTTGTCATTTTATTTTTAATTCGATGACACTTTATTTGAACATACAAGTTTCTGCCTTCGGGTGGCTATTGCATTTCCAATGCAATGCCATAAGATAACCAGGGAATTGAAAATGGTTCAGATTATGGTCTATGTTATAAAATTCAAGAGTTAACTAATAAAGCGGCGGCACTAAAATGTCAATTGCATTTTATTGGTTGAAATGGACTATATTAGGACTGAGAAGAGTGAGTCAAGGGACCAATAACTTTCACACTTGATTTGAATTTTAAGTGCTTCGAAAATATTGATCTGTTATATTTTAAAGTTTTTGTACGAAAACATTTCCAGAGATGGTAATGTAACGCTGATCTCCTTTAAGCGTGTTGATTATTTTCTAAGGAGAAAAACCATTCGATGTGCTGGGAGTGCTGATAGATCAATATTTAGTATTTTTTTACATTACATGTATGTTGATATAGTATAGTAAATAATATTTCTTCTTGGCGATCTAATGATTATTGATGTTTTACATCAGATATGAAGCAAATAAAATCCGTATAGTAAATGATATTTCTTCTTGGCGATCTAATGATTATTGATGTTTTACAGCCCATATGAACCAAATAAAATCTGTATATATTGTTTAACCTTCAATCAGCTTACGCGTTAATCATTTGTTGTGCATATCAGTATTGTATCGTAAAAATTTAAATGTTGTACACACACTTTTATGTTAAAATATAAAAAAATAAAGAAAAAATTACGCTATCATTACGTTTTCTTAAAATAGCCACCACGGAAAAAGGGACATGATTTTACAAACAATATAATACGATTTCCTTCTAAATATTGCATGAGCTTATGTATGTTAAAAGAAAATGAACTTTACATTAGAGAAAGCCATAAAAAAATAAACGCAGCGATAATATCAATACATATTGGTTAATTCTTTGTACAAAATGTTGCTGTGGCGCATGAGTATTATTTGAAATTGGTAAATAACGTTTGGAATTTTACAAAACGAAACTTAATGGATCTATAGTATAGATTATATCGTATTGTTTGACTACAATAACAAATATCAATTTGACTCTTTTCTTGCGTTCATCCAGACAGACAGACGGACGGACATGTCTAGATCGATTTCTCTCGTCATGCTGATTCAGAATATATATAATTTATGGGGTCGGAGATGCTTCCTTCTGCATGTTACATACTTTGCACAAACCTAATATACCCTTTTTACAGGGTATACAAATATATAAATATTGAGAATCGTCGATAAGGCCAAAGTATTATTAGGTTTGTGCAAAGTATGTCACCGGCGGAAGGAAGCATCTCTGACCATATCCGCTCTTCTTCTTCATTCTTTTAATCAAAAATATGTTTAGCATCATGATGTATTCTTTGTCTGTCATCTTCGATCGAGCTTAATTGTGGCAAGTTAGTCGACAGGTGGCGCCAAGTGGTGCTCTGTGTTCGCTCACAGTTTGCGTTTCACGCACTGTACCGATTTCCATGGCTTTAATTACGAAGCGACCGGACAAACAAGTGGCCGGCCAAGTGGGATGACCAGCCCCATTGGCCCAGATTTGCTGCCTAAGGCCGCTGATGGCGTTGCGTGAGTACCGTTGAATGCCACAGCCACACCCCTTTTGGCACTTGCGCCTCACTTGCAACCGTTTTCACGCCTCAACTTAGAGCCACACACTCGTATGTGAGCTCTCAGCTTTACTTTCAACCTGTGTTCGCGCGCATTTCACATTAATTTGCCGGCCGCTAATGGGCACGCGGGCGGGGTACCCTCTGAGTGAGTGTGTGTGTGGTGCGGTGTAGTGTGTGGTGTCTGTTGTGTGTTGTGCCCAGCCACTTGGCCAGCGAGTGCTAAATTATGCGCACGAAACGAAACCCAACAGAAAGCGCCGCATTTACGCACTTCTCTGCGGAACCTACAAAAAAGCGTGGGGCGAATGGGGAAGACAAGCGGACATGCGGTGGCGCAAAAGACCGGATGTGCATATGCCATCACATCCACATACATATGTATATGTATGGTATTTTGTGGTCTCCGAAATGCGCTTCGCAGCTATGTTTGGTCCGAAGGAAGCATAAATTAAAACTTTAATGCCAATTGACTTAATTTAATTGGACAGTTTAAAAATAAAGATGGCACTGCATTTAAAATTGGTTGTGGGAGGACTTGAACACCTTTTGACGATCGGCCAACTTATGTAATACGTGCAGCTCCAAATACATACATACGGGTATATGAAATTTGTTTATATAAGTAATTCAGTTGCCAGGAGTGCGTGTTTCATTAAAACTTCGACATTTGTACAATTCCGAAACGTGTCTATATAAAAGTAATATACTTGTAGTTGCCAGGAGGACTGCGTGTTTCATTAAAACTCCGACATTTTTACAATTCCGAGATCGACGTTTGCGAGGCTATTCATATTTGACCCTTCTGATGCTGGCCCAGGCAGACTCTTTCACTTGCATAAGATCTGAGCTTCTACCTAATTCTTACAGTAGTGACGCTTTTCGCAATGAGGCGTGACTTTTGAAGATACTGTCGATTTCGGTTTGCTCGATCTCTTACGCCGCTTTCCATGGCTTCCATGTTTTCTGCATGCTTCTGAGAGCAAAAGTTTGCTTTGTCGCTCTCGCACTGCATTCGCCAAATCCACATACTTTTGTTTTTTCTCCTCATTCATACACTTCCAGATGACGCTGGCCCTGTGCTCTATTAGTTCGTTCTCAATTTGATAAATGCGATCGGATTGACTGCTTAAGCGTTTTATCTGTTCCTCTCGCAGCTCGTTGAGGAAATTTTGGAATGGTGAATTACTTGCCCGTAGCAAAAATTGACGTCGTTCCTCCAGGGCCAAGGTGCTTGGCGAGAATATTACGTGGCGGCTCGGAAGGGCCCGTCGCTGCCATATAAAATCACGCAATTTACCAAAGTTATTCCAAATAAAAGCCATTCTGAAGAAATTAAACAATCTGCTAAAAAATAAAACGAAAAAAAAATTGCACTTGAACGAAATTTTGGTTTTGAGAAATTTTAAATGACTGACGATTTATTTTATTTTTTTTTTGCCAACGCCTGCTAGATTTGTTTCATTTAAATTAATCCTTCACAGTCATATCGACTTCCTTTGAGCTTTAAAATACTATAAAATCGAAAGTAAATTCATAACTTATTTTGCAATTTATTTTTAACACCATGAAATAGTAAAGTAGTATTTCCTAACATTGATCTAAATTGGAGCTATCGAGTATATAAATAACAAATAAACCGCTTTTAAAATGCATCAGAATTGTATTGTTGAGTAAAAATTCTGTTCCTGTTTTTTTTGTGCCCCACTTTAAATAGACTCCGATACTTTCAAATATAATATACATTTATCGATTATGCATGATAGAAACATGATGACATGTCATCGGATTACACAAAATCACGAACGGTATTCAGATCCAAGTAACCGTAGATATGTATTTCAATTGCCCTTTAGATATAGTTTTCTAGTCTCAGTTTCGGGCTAGAGTTAGGGTCGAACAGACGTCGAATTTGATTTATTTTTATAAACTTCACGAAAAGAATTCTAATTATGGCCGAAGACGAAGAAGTGCAGTTTGAAACCGGAGACTCTGGTGCTTCCAAAACATATCCCATGCAATGCTCGGGATTGCGCAAAAATGGATTTGTTATGCTGAAGGGGCGCCCTTGCAAGATTGTGGACATGTCCACATCGAAGACCGGAAAACACGGACATGCCAAGGTACACCTGGTGGGCATCGACATCTTCACCCAGAAGAAGTACGAGGACATTTGCCCCTCAACCCACAACATGGATGTGCCGCATGTGAAGCGTGAGGACTATCAACTAACAGATATTAGTGATGATGGTTATGTCACATTGCTATCAGACAACGGCGACTTACGCGAGGATCTGAAGGTTCCGGAGGGTGAATTGGGCGGCGCCCTACGGTCTGAGTTTAGCGAGGGAAAGGACTTGCTCTGCACCGTACTTGCTGCCTGTGGTGAGGAGTGCGTCATTGCCATGAAGGCCAATGTTGGGCTAGACAAGTAAAGGCTTTTATCACACGTCACAATTCAAAAGAGAGGTCGGAGCTTTTGTGGAGTCTGAACTTTTGAGTAATGCATAAAATAAATGACGTTTCATAAATGATAACTTTGGTTTGGGGGATCTGAAAGGATTGTATAAAAAAAAAGATAAAAAGCAGTCGCCATTTTGTAGCCGATTGCAGTTATCGATTGTTAAAACAGCTGACTGTATTATAAGGAGTTGCCATCTCGTGTTATTAAATATATGTATATTTGTTTCACCGCTTGGAACATCTATTATGCATATGTATATATTTTTTTAAATGAGCCGCGAAAATAGTTTCATAGTGATAATAACTCTTTGGTACAATGACAACAGATTTAAATACATTTTCAGTCTTCCCATGACCAATCTCAAACCAGACTACCTAATGCACCATTTCAATGCGCCATGCTCCTATGGAGTCCCAATAAATCTTTCCTTAATTGAGGTCCCATTAACAGCACCCCGGTCTTGTGCAGCAGGGAGTAGCAATCAAAGCGCCCGCACGATGTGAACTTTCCAAACGAACTCATCAAATCAATTAAACAATATTAGAAGGTCATAATCGACCTCTAGGTCAGCTACGAAATTATACTTTAATCCCAGATCGTTTATCAAAACGATCAAATGTAATATTTTGGATAAAAATGTAGAAACAAAGACGAAGGTGAGGTCAGTCCGACACTCATCAATTCATGTTACGTTTATTGATGCATTGACTGGGCTGTCGCTAATTGTTTGATTTTAGTTGGAAAGCAACCTACCGCATTCTAACGATTACAGCTTGAGGCACAGTTCAATGGACCTCGTGCTATTAACCACCGGTTGATCCATTGGCCAGTTGCAGCCATCAACCATAGACATGCGAACACCTGAACAATTAAACGCCATTTGCGTAATTTCTTTGAACGTCGTTTTCCTTTCGTGTTTTCATTAATTTTCTTGGGCTGCATGCACCAAGCAGTCGACGACGACAGCGACGCCGACGCCGACGCCAACTATGTGTTAACTGGCACAATGTACGCCAACAATCTTCCTCCTGCCCTCTTTCTCGGGACTGCATCGTGCGTTTCCCGCTTTTCAATTGACAGCCATCGTTTTGCTTCCTTGTTTTTTTAAACGTCTGGCTACCCCGTCGCTCCCTATTGGCAATTGATTGACTGCATTTGCATTGGCAAGATAGACTAGACTGTACAGGCAGCCAAACACATACACAGACAGACAGGCAGGCAGACAGACGGACAGACAGACAGACACTCATCCATTCATGCATTCATGCAGTCGACCGGCCCGGCAGTCATTCATTCAAATTTTGTAACTGTTTTGTCTGCCAATTTGACATTTTTGCCAAACGATCTCAAAGTCCGTTTGTGGGTGTGTATGTGTGGCTTTGTGTGTGTGTTTGTATATTTATGTGTGTGTGTGTGTTTGGAGTTGGTCGTATCTTGTGCGTGGCTACAACCACATCTACTCGTATGCACAGCCGTCCGTCACCACCGTCTGCTGATCATTTGTCGCTACGTTTCGAGCTGTAATTTAAAATGTTGTCATGTCTGTAAACAAATGCAATAAATTGCTAATACTACAATTTAATAGGAGCGCGAGCGGTTGGCAGATTGCCGACCCAAGCTTTTTTCCATGCGAAAGGATTAGGTTGCCAGTTCAGTTGGCACTCCCAGATTTTCGCTCCCATGTGCTGTAGCGATTGGTATTGTGGGAATGACTCCGCCTGGCAGTTGGCAGCACAAATCAAATTAAAGCCTCCGGGTGATGTCATTCTCAACCCAAAGTCCAAAATTCAATTAGTCGCCTAGGCAGCCGGCACACAATTAAAAATAACAAATAACAATCCAAATCGGATATGTTGACAGCTCTGATGAGGGCGGCCTTAAATGTTATTGCCATTGTTACATCTGAAGCACCCGCATATAAGTAGGTTCCTATGTGCATATACTTGTACTATATACGAGCATAAACATACATATATTTATACTATATATGTATACTGATAATGTATTTATTTGCTTTATTTCAATTGAAATGCTTAGACTTTTTCAGTTGTCTTAATGGCTTTTGTTTTTTGCTGATGATCATGGTCAATAATTTAGACATAATCAATCAATATGGTGCTAAGTTTCCCAAGTCAAGCAATTTATATCTTGTTAATTAACATTTCTTATAGTAGGGGCCGGAGGGTACGTTAATACTTAGGAAACCAAACGAATGTTCTAGAATTCATGTCCGGCTAAGAGGGGTCTCCGGTTACAAGAGGTGTCCATTAAGAGAGTTTTCACTGTATATATGTCCACATATCTATTCATGATTGATTGTTTACAATGCTAAGAAATTAGTTTTTTTAATAAAACGAGATTTGTACATATGTATAGTACATTTTATATTTCTAATACGTCAAGCTGTGCTGAGAAGGTTTACTAAGAACTCCGAATTTATATAGCAGGGAGAAAAGTTGTATGTCGTTTCATTATGTTTTATATTAATGGAAGATAGGACGTAGGAGAGTGCTGGTAAAAGCAAGGCGCAAACAGGAAAGTGGCTAGTGAAGAAGATAAAGATCAGCGGTCAGGAAGGAGTGGAGGAGTAATCAGTTGTCGTCATTTATGAGTCAGTCGTCAACTCTTGTTCTAAGCAGTCAGTTCTGAGAAATTATTATTTTCAGCAGCTCCGATTCCTGCTCTCCCGTCACAAACAGGCTTACAAATATGAAATTCGTAATTATTAATTATACAATATAACATTAACAAATGGGATAAAATCGTATACTACTTAGTTTAGTGCGAATGTATGAAACACATAGAAGGAGGCGCGGGGGTCTACTACAAACTACTATATACAATATGAATTCTTGATCAGCATGAAAATACAATACAGTTGATATAGCCATATCAGTTTGTTTGTCCATCCGTCTGTTCGCCCATATGCAAGCTAGGATCTTAGGAAGTGTGAAGCTGCAATAACCCAACTTAATTAATACAATTTAATTATTATTGATACAATTTTTAAATATTTTAAAATTGTTTTTGTTGTGGTACAGTTGGTCCATTCAACTCTAGCATTCCCTGTTTAATATTATCCTACTACTAGTACGCATAATATGAAAATAAACAAGTAAAGAAGCTAAAGTCGGGTGTCCCGACTTTGAAATACTCTGTACATATGTTTACAATAATTATAGAAAATAAAAAAAATTAAGAAAATTAAAAAAAAATTTTTGATCGATTTTACCTTTCTCGGTATTCGAACTCACGTAAAGGGTGTATAATTGCACATTTACATAGCAAGTGCGTCTGTGTGAGTGTATGTATGTATGCGCATCTATTCGTGTCTGTGTAAACATGTGTGCAGTCAACCAAAGCACCAGCATCAACAACAGCCGCGGGCAGCGCTTGAGCAGCGCTGCAGCAGCAAATACATTTATGGCTATAACTTCTTGTCAAATCGGTCTATCATAGTGAAACTTGGCATACGGACACATAATAACTAACTGGGGGTATTTGCAAAATTTTAGTTCGAAATTCCAAGAATTACGGGAGTTAGAGAAAATCGCGATTTGCATGGGAGAGGGGGGAGGGAGGAAAATTCCAAAATACACATTTTCTGCGTATTCACATAAGGCATCTTGGACTAAAATTTGGTGTTCCTAGGTTTTATAGTCTCCGAGATATAGGCGATTATACGAATGGAAAATCGGGAAACCTCCATAGGGGGAAAGTGGGGGGAAAATCGAAAAAATGTTTTTTAACGGTATCTATTGGAAATGTGTGTACTTATGCCCTCATTTTTAATAAGAAGTTGTTACCGAACTACTTAGAAGTGCTCATTCATGCTCGTTGCTCTGCCTTTCCGTCATCGCAACGGTCGGATCAAAGTCAAACCAGTTTTCTAGAAGTCCGCCCCGCTCAACGCTGCCGATGCATTTAAACAACATAAGCTGCATTGCCACTGATGACTGCTAATTGTTATTGATTTTAGCTTTGCATGTGGCAGCATAAATTTAAATTATTCACAGTTGCCGTCGTGATGCTGCCATTGTTGTTCTACATGCTAGATAGAACGAAAAGGGCAAATGGGCAAAATCTAGCTTAATGGAAATACTTGGGTGGACTACATAAGCTTGGTGGACGGCATGAATTCAAGTGCAGTAACCAATATTGAATATCACCATGACTATAGCAACAACAAGCGCTATAGTAATAATAATAGTAACAAGAAAAACAACGGCACTTTTTACTGGGTGCAGCAGACAGCACACTGTTATCTTGGTGGCTCACTTAACAGCCCTCTTCCCAAGTTGCAGCGAGCGCTCTTGACCTCTGCTCAGCTCGAAATAGGCAGAAACAACAACAATAACAACAATAAAGACTCTGCATGCGCCGTCGACTGTCACTCACAGAACACGAGACACGAGCAGCAACAACATCGAAAGAAAATCCATCAAAAACAGCCCAGGAATACGCCCCGTCATAAAAGCCCAACAAAACATGCGCCCATCTATCCAAAACTAATTACACGCTTTAATTTCCCGACAGTGCGATATGTGTCGCACATACTGCTTTAAAAAGTAGCGGGTGGATGTGGCTGGCATTAGTCAGCGATTTTACATGCAGCCCTCATGGATACCATTACGAGCGATGTGTATCTAACGGCCACAAATAAACACTTGTCACTCAATTAGAATTAAACTTCATTCAATTCTCATTCTAATTCCATGGCGACAGCGGGAAGAGTTTTCAAATTGCTTATTAAGGCAGCTCAATGTTAAAAAGACAAGACCGATATGGCATTAGAGGCTGCAACATTTTTACTCTCACTGGGAATTCGATTTTTGAAATCAAACTGATACAATTTTTACTCCGAAACGGCTAACTCCCTTGGTGACCATCTAATATATTCTCTTAAATAATATGTTGCACAGTTCTTTTTTTAAATGAACATTTGTGTTTGTTACTGAACGATAAGCCTATTTAAATGTTATTCAAAAGCGTGTCTCTAATTTCAGGTATAATTTATTTATAACTATATTGGAGCAATTATTCGCAATTTTTAATTGGGATGCAATCATC